CCCACCCAGAAGGAGAGTGGAGCTGAGCAGAGAAAAAGGAGAGAAGAGAAGAAGGGAATGAAGCTGGATGGAGAACAAGGAGGAGACCTGAGGAAGCCACATGGAACAGCAAGCCTGTGAGGAAGAAGCCATGCTTGTTTCCTGACACCGGACTTGTTAAGGCAGATGTGGGTGAGATACCTGTAGGGAAGTGACTATGGCAGTGTTTATATTGATTTTGATTTTGCTCTTTTCCTCCCAGATTTGTCTGGACATTTCTGACCCTATTCCATGGGTCCCGGCCAGAAGGTGCTTTAGTCTTGTGGCGGGCTTTCAGGCCTTGCTTTGGGCCCATCCCTTTTGGGTTGACTTTTGCCCACGAGGGGATGGGTAACTTCAGGTGTTTGATTTAGAAGTTATATTCTCTGTGTTCGGTATTGTATATTCACTGTATTAACTTTACATTAAAGTTTTATATGTTTGGTCTTGTTGCGGCGGATGGCAGAACCCACTTAGAGCAGGCAGGTTTTGGGGCTTCAGGGGTTCCCCTCTCTCCCTGTCATGTAACAGATTTTGTCCTGTAACAAAGGGAATCCTCATACAACATGTGGCCAACTTAAATACTGCTCAGTAGCACATAGTCAAAAAGCGAAATGATACTCGATTTTTAAAGTTATTACAATAGTAAAAGGACTCACTTTAGATTTTTAAATTGTTAATGATGGTACTAGATAAAGTCATAGCTCTTGGCTTTCTTCCTGTTAAGTCCAGTGACCACACATGGTAATGAGGAACATTTCCTGGTAGTTATTCATTGATTAAAAAAAGCCATTTTTTTCCAGAGCCTGAACAGGAGATAAGATGTCAAGAGGTAGTAAGGAGTGAAATGAAAGAGGAGAACACTAAGGAACCAAAAAGAGAAAACATTAAACTGATGTTATTTTTTTCCCTTAGTGTATGCAGATGGACAGGAAAATTATAGCAGTAATTGCATACTCCTTTTCACCAAAGACAGAATGGCCTTGGGGAATTAGAGCCAGAGAGAAAATGTTCAATGAAACTGCATTCTCATGCAGGCCCCAGGGCTTGCTAGATACACTTGGGCCAAGGTCATTTACCTTTTCTGTGCCTTAGTTTCCTTAAATGTTGAAAAGGATTATATTCCTCTTTGAGCTACTGGGAAGATGAAGAAAATATTGCTTCGGAGGCACCCAAAAGTGGTCGGGAAAAGGCGCTCTAAGAATACCAAGGAGTACTATTATTACTGAACTGTGCATCCTGTTGGAATGAGTCACCGTGCTGCAAAGATGCAGTAGCAATTCCAAGTGTGGTTGAGGACCAGGGACCACTAGGGGAGGTCAGGACTCTCAAATGCTTTTGAGGGAGACATCAGTCGCAGTGAAATCTGCCTGTCTTCTGTTCAAAGATTTAAAAAAAAAAAAAAAAAGTGTGTGGGGGGCAACTTTTCAAGTAAGTGTGGCAACGTATTTACACAAATACTTTTGAAATACAAGAGCCAGCTTGAATCCAGACTTTGCCACTCACTCCTGTGACCTTGGACAAGCTGCTGTTTCTTTAAAGTTCCTTTCCCCGTGTGTAAAATGGGGAGTATAGTAGTATGTATAAGGGTGGGTGCCCACCCTTGCGAGGGCTCTGTCAAGCGAGCTATCTTCTGTAATTTGTGAGGGGGTGGGGCGCGCCAAGAGGGTGCAGAACTCTCTAGCTTGATAAGCAAATCTTTTTTTCAAAACGTTAGAGGGAAAAGGCAAGTTTTTATGTTATAAAACATAAGATTTAGGGGGGCCCAGGAAGAGGGAAAACTTGCTTTGTCAAGTGAACCCACTCATATTTCATGGTTCCACGGTAACTAGTCAAACCTTTGATAATCTGGCACACCAAACACAAACAGGAAAAGCCTTCCGAGTGCTGTAAATAAAAGCAGCTTGCTATTTTAAAGCGAGATCTAGATTTCGGAAAAATCTCTTGGCTAGCCTATCGCTCTTCTCAAACAAAGCTCAGACGCGGGGTTTCTGTTGTTAGAGCGAGGGCCATCAGGGGCGCGGGATCGAGCTCCCGGGGAAACGCGGCGGGCTTGGGAAGCCTCGGGGCAAAGCCCCAGGGGCCGCACGCAGGCTCTGGTTTCTAATCGCTG